GTAAGTAACATCTATTATTACATTTTTAAGTAGATCTTTGTTAGTAAGCATCTGTAAACATGTTTGATCAGATGGAAAGCTCCAGGACTATATTTACGTTACTAAACCAGAATGTTCTTCTTAAATAAGGACCTGCACTAATGCCAACTGAAGTTAATTGGGAATTTGCAAGTGAAAGGATTCAAGTCCCTAAAAAAAGTTCCTGTTTTGTAGGACTAAATAAATTGAGTTAATGACTAGTGTTGTGAGCTGATTTAGAGTGTTTTTTGGAAGTTATATCAAATATTAAAAGTTATGTCATTAAGAGATACATGAGAGTCTCCTCAATGGAGCAGGTTTGTTTGTGAGTTTGCTCTTTCTGTAATCACTGTGTCCATTTGTGTGATGTTTGAGGTATTCCCACTTTCCTCCCTCTGAAGGCCTCAAAGGATATGTAAAGAAAAAGAAAAAGATGACTTGTACAAATATAAAACAAAATCATCCCCAACTGATGGTCTCTGGTTCTAGAGAACGAAGAGTGTCACTTGCAGCAGCTGAAGACAGTGTTCAGCAATGTGCCTGGGTTTTGGAGTTTTGATTTAAGTTGTGTTGATTGAAGGGATTCCAGACTTGTCCTACTGTGCAGGAGTGATGATGGATGCAGGTACAGTAGCAGATTGACCTCCAGCCAGACAAGGAATCTTATGAAGGAACATTGATTCCCTGGTTGAATATTATTGTTGTTATTATTATTATTATTATTATTATTATTATTATTATTATTAGTGGTTTTGTCTGTCTGGTGGTCTTAACCGAGACTAGACTGTTTGCTCAGTACACCGAGCATAGGAAAATGCCACATGTGGACACCTCAGGAATCATTCTTTTCAGTTATTTCTTGAGTATTTTTCTCTAGTTTCTATGAATTTGTTTTGGGGCCAGGTGTAGGTCGAGCTCTGATGATCTCTGACACCACCACTGTCTTCAGATGATTGAAATTGGCAGAAGTGCAATTTCTTCACTAACTGAGGGAAAAGTCCCTCAGCTGTAATTTCAGATCATGAAGCTGATTGTATCCAGAGAGTTCTTCAAGACTTGCTGGGGTTTACATTTTGCAGGATCATTTAGAAGTATATGGGCTTGTTTCCATATCATTTCTAGGAATAAATGCCAGCCTAGACTACATCTGGAAGCAGAATACTCTTAATACTGCCAAAAAGTAACACACTTTATTTTCTTTTTCCATTCTAATTTGAATTAAAAAGAAAAATATCTCTCTAATTTACCTTATATTATAGTCATTGTAGCATATTTGTGTAGGGGAATGCCATATTTTTAATCACATGTAGCTTCCATTTAGTCTACTTACACTTTTAATACTCCCCTTTAAAGAGCTCTGCATATGGTGTTCTCAATGCATCAAAGCAGCTTTCCCCCTCTTCCATTATCCTTTTTTTTTTATTTTATTTTTTCCTTTTTATGGTTAACTTTCCTCTTTTTGCCCAGTCAGGATGTTTCCCAGGAGCACTGGGAGCACCACGGGATACTGGTTATTCAAGGCCAAGATTTTGCCTATGGCCATGAGCTTTAGTTACTGTTTGAGGTGTCTCAAAATTTTGAGCTCAATGCTGTAATGACCACAAATTCTCTGCTGCTGCCACCTATTCTTATGACACTGTTATATCAGATTATATCCTCTGTTATTATTAAGCCTTCATTAAGATGAACGTCAAAATGACAAAAGTGAACCATTAAACCGAGATAAGGAAAGATGTACATGCTGAGAAATGCAGCCTTTTCCTAAACCACTGGTGAGAGCTGAGATCTCCCCTCTTAGAAAAATGCCAACTTATGGTTGGAACTGATTATTTTAATTGCTGAAAAAATCAGGAAAATAATGCAATGGTTCAAGGGCACAAGGATGCCTCCTAGATTACTCAAGTCTCTTGGAAAGTCTTTATATCTACGTTAATTTACAAGGGTATTTCTCTTCCCAAATCCCATGGGATTTGCTCAAGGACAAAAACTCGAGTAGAATCATAACCACAACGTGCTGGGCTGGCTCTACAAGAGTGGAAAAGTGCAGGAATCCTTCATCTTTCCAGATTAAAAAAAAAAGGATATTTGTGTAGCTCCTCTGCAAAGCCATGATCTTGCATGGCTTTGAGTTCCTGTGCTGTAAAGCACCAAAGTGTTGTGTGTCTTCTGTTCCTTGCAGCTATTACTCAGCTGTGGAAAGAAATATCAAGTCATGTAACCACTTTCTTCCAAGTTTTGGGCCAGGATCTCAGCTGGTGTAAGTCAGCAGAGCTCCACTGACATTATTAGTGCTCCAGTGATTCACACCAGCTGTGGGTCTGGTCCTCTGTCTCAATTTATGAACTAAATGTCAGGAAATATGAAATGATCTCTTTTAGTCAGCAGTTCTGCAGATGTGTTAATGGATTTTAAGTTTACCAAAAAGGCAAGACTTCAAAAAGAGATCCAGCAGAAGAATAAACTTTCAAGAAGAATGCCTTACTTACAGCCTTTTTGGCAAGAGAGGGCTATACAACTAACTGCAAATTGAAGAAATTAACTCAGTTATGCATCAGGATATGGTAACACAGCCTCACTGAGAACCCAAGATTCAAAATAGCTTCACAGCACGAAGCAAGCTGTTGGCATTCAGTGAGTAATTGCCATGCATATAGGAATCACCAAGTCTTAAGACCAAAAATTAAGTTGCTTGTGATCTTTGTGTGAAGAGCCTAATGCTTCCACTCTGGTGGTGCAGTTGGGTTTATCCACAGGCCTGGTGTTACATCTCTTGGAGATTAAATGAGAACCATGTTGTTACAAGGACACAGAAGCTTAATAGTTCTCACTGTGTGATGTTAAAACTCAATGGTGACTTTGCTTATGGCTGTGATCTCAAATATAGTGTTGAAAAGAGTTATTTTAGCCAATGTGAAGGAAATGCTCGTTGACATTGCTTAAGCACCATCAGACTTACCTGTCCAAATCAAAAAATGTTGGGATAGGTGTAACCTCATAGTCAACAAATGTGAGGTCTCAGAAGTCTTTTATTCCTAAATGCTTTAATGATATATAACCATATGCTCCAAAACCCAAAGAAGATACCATACCTGAAGTACAGAGGTACAGAGGTCTTCACAGCCTAATTTATTTGCTAATGAGACTTTTGAGAATTAATTAAAATGATTAGTGTGTGGCTCCACACTGTGTGATTTACATATGTTGTTCTCACTGGAGACTTGCTGCTTTGGATAGACCCAGAAAAGTAAAAGAACAATGTGCCTTCAATGGTCCATTGAGTGAACTTGAATGTAACTCTCTGTTGGGGTGTGCTGCTTATATATATTTTTTTTAAATTAGGGTAGAAATAATTTGATTTCTAGCAATCAGATCAGTGTGACGTGCCCTGAGGGTCCAGCTCTGGCAGGTCTGTTTCACAGTTAATCCCAGTGACTTTTGGTGAGACAAACATTTGTCTAGATGTCACTGCATACCAAAAGGAAAATCCACAATGCTTGGACACAAATTACACAGGCCTGAAGATGAACATCTTGGAAGAGTCCTCATACAAAGCCAGTTAGACTTTCAGGTAAAGTAATTATCATAATTTGAATATAGCAGCACATTGAATTTAGAGGGATTTGCAGAACTGGAGTGATGGATTGAGTAGTGAGGAAACCCCTTTGAATACTGGAGACCACTTGGGAAGTTAACAGCGTCCAGGACTCAGCATTTACTGGGGTTTTGTTGATTCCTCAGGAGCACAAGGGGAACAAAAATTCATTCCCCAGGTCCACAGCAGGAAGGACCATAATGAGAGCTCTGACCCTCCAAGGGGTCAAGGATCTGGAAGTGTGAGAGGCACAGTCATGTGAGGCAGTGTCTGGTGACTTAAGGAGCTCACTGCATCTTGAAATCACAGTGTTTCACAGCGACTTCTGCTCCCTGTAGATTTCTAGGGATGAGGTTTGGAAAACTTGGCTCTGAATCAGTTTGAAACCAAATTGAAAAAAATTGCTGAATTTCACTTGCTGTGTTTGGCTCTGCAGCGTGGAGTGGTTGAAGGCAAAATAAACGCTTGAATCAGTCTGAAAATTAAGATTGTATTTGTGAGTCCTCACAGGGCAGCACTTGAGAGTAAGAGCAACACTCTCCACCACCTTTGTCCAGTCTTTCCCATCCTGGTGGCTGATGTGTTGGCCTTAGTAATGTATGAGTATTTCACCTGCTGTCAGTATTGCACCAGTGGAATATACCTGGTCACGAAGCCATCGACCCTTATGAAACTCCAGCCAGCCCCAAATCTCGCAATACAAGTGTGTCAGGTCTGATTCCTGCTTCCTACACCGATTTCCTTCAGCCAAGGACTGGGACAAGATTGGGAGATCACATCTTACTTTAAATGCACGGAGTGATGCTGACCTGGCATGTCTTGTCACTGAAAACACACTTGTCTGTGATACATAACTCTCTAAGCTCACAGAAGTAAAGTTTTCTGTACAGGATTCAGATTTTTTGTGTATTCAGCCTATACCTATAAGATTAATATAATAAGATTAATGTAGTGATCAGAAGCTGTTGCAAATGCCGCCGTTTTTGGAAACACAGGATACCTCACCTTCCCAGGCATAAGGGCAGAGCCTTACTGGAATGGTGTCCTGGAGAGACGGGGGAAATAGGGCACATGGGCTCTTGGCACGTTTTCAGCATCTTTCCTGCCCTCTCTCACTCTCCCTGTGTAAACTCAGGGTGAAATGGTCATTCTAAGGGTCTTAAAAAAAACTGTGATGAGATAGCTGAAGCTGTGACATTTATAAGCTGAATTTCATCTGCTTTGCCATTGCCATCTCTGCAAGTGATGGTAGAAAATACACGTCTCTCAGATGTAAACTTAACAAAAAGCTCAGAATTCACTGTAAAGGATTACTTTGGGAAAGTATATGTTGGAATTATTTATATCTGTATCCAAATCTGTTTCATATCCCTTTGCTTTACATTTCCAGACCTGACCTGGCCTCACAGAAGACCGTGGATTGGAACCTGGAAACACTGAAGAACACTTGTGAGCCAGAGGACCTCTTCAATGACATGTAGCCACATGTGGGCTGAGAGACAGAGGCTGGTGCTTCTAACAGCCATAAGCTGTGAAACTAAAAGGCTTTTTTTATAGAGTAGAGACAAGATCTGTGCTCTGAGGCTGTTTCCAGTGGCACACCCCTCTAAACCCTCTTGCACTGCCCTTGTCCCCATTCCTCACTATGAATTTGTAGACCCTAACAGACCTGATTTGTGATGGTCTTAAAAAAGAGTTTATCCTCTGTGTAGAACTTTTATCAAGTGTATATGGGAAGGGAGAGCACCACTGGGGTGTTTTCTACATCCTCACAGTCAGTAGCTGCTGACTGTGTTCAGGTTTTCCAGATGTCCACAGAGAATGTGTGACATAAGATTTTAAGCTACCACTGTACTTAACCTTATATGCCACCCCTTTCTTAGCTCAGCCTAAGCATCTTCAGCTTTGTTTGAGATGCAGATTTAGAATAGTCTCTTCTGATTCAAAGCATCCAAAGAAATACCGTTTTATTCGAAGATTCTCTGCAGCATTAATGCATTATAAGGTATTCTTGCTCTTGGAAGTAAAGTGCTTCTAAAGTAGATATTGTCTCTATTTTAAGCTTCTGTAGAAACCCATAGCATTTAAAAAGATTGTCATTTTTGATACTTCAACATTTTCCTTAAGGTGATTTCTAAAAAGAAAAAAATAAAATGCATTCTGAAAGGACATCAATTTTGTTGTTATTTGCTTAGACGCTATGAGTAAAGGCAGGAGTTAGCAAAGTGTTTTAATGCATGAAGGCAATCTGTGCTCTGTGGCAACTTGGAAAGGTCCTTGGTTAAACACCTACTTGGTGTTTCTGAAATGGTCACACTTATGTAGGCTCTGATTCTGCCAAAATTCCATACTATAATTTATTAAAAGCACCCGTGTCAGTGTTTGCAGCATCATGGACTCTTATAGGAGTCTGGGAATATTACATTTAAGCATTCCTCCCTGGAAAACATGGTCACAGCATTTTAAATTCACAAAGGGCTTTGGGACAGTGTTATAAATCACACAGTAAAAATAAGAATGGCTAAAATATTTTGCTTGCTAAAAAGGCTTTGTGCCTCAGAAGTGACAGGGCCACAAAAGCCCCATTCATACACCCATTCATGGGCATGGCCTGATTTAAAATCTTCCAGTGCTGATCTGACAATGCTTTCAGCAAAAACTCATGTATGGTTCCAGTTTTGGAGTGAAAATGTTCCATGACTTAACTCGATGTGCAAGAGCTTGGTTTAATTGTGCCTACAGCAGAAAATGAAGGTAAATGAAGCCAAACATCCCACAAAACTCTGCTTTCAGGAAGCTGTTGGTTTCTAGTGGCAAAATGTTGTTGTACAAATAGGAAATGTTACATGCCATGGGCAGATGTAATAAAGTGTGTCAGAGTGTTTATTATTTTCTCTTTTTTTCTTCTTCTTTTTTGAGGTTTATAGAGTCATTTAAGCAGAAAATTACGTGATGGGGTTTGCACACCTTGGGCTGTGTGAGCACAGATGTATTGTCTGGTGAGGGCACTCGTGTTACAAAGGCAGTTTCCAATCAGCTGAGACTGGTTTTATCAACAGGAACACCTTCTCTCCCCTGGAAATCTACATACAGTATGTCAGTGTCCACAGCCGTGTGGGAATTGTCAGTGAAATCCTCCTTTCTGAAGATTTATGTGAGAAGCTGTTAGTTTTCTGGAGATAAAGTTTCCATTTTCCAGTTGGCTTTGAAGAGCAATGACCCACCAGCCTTAAAACCAGTTTAGACTCTGTATATGTCTTTTATCCTGTGAGAGCAGCATTGCCAAAGCTGCAGAAAATCAGTGAAAATTCTACATGATGTGCATTTGTCTCCTTTATCCTCAACCTCATTCATCCCAGTGCATGGAAATAGACTCAGTCATCTCACTGACCAAGCCAGGTAAAATCCATTTCAAACTAACATGTGATGTCTGGGAAGGGAGCTTGGTTGCTTCTCCCCCACCCAAAATATTTCAGTGAAGACAGAAGACATAATAGAGAAATGCCCACAAATGGGTTTTTCAAGGCAGGAAGTTACCCCAAGTTAGGAAACACATATCAAATTTCAGAGATCCTTAATCAATGCTTCCCTTTGATACTACTCTGCAAATGATTTCCCAGGTAATTTTTTTTTTTCATCCCTTTAAACTGTACTTGAAGCATGTAATTGTTTTACAGGAGGAAAAATGTATCTTTCAGTAAAGGTTTGGACTCATCAAGAGTTTTATACCTTAATGTAATTTCTTAGACAGAATGTACATTCTAATTTGTCATTAGAAGTCTGGCTTTATCCAACAAATCTTGAAAAGCAAAGCTCAAAAATACTTATTTTCAAGACAGCAAAAAGAAAGTTCTGAACCAAAAAATCCCCCTTTTCTTAAGGAAGTGCTGTATAAAATGTTGCCTTTGGGATGATAATGTTATTTTGATTTTGAGATCATGTTTTGACAAGTTATGTCTATTTTAACTACCTTCTCAGTGTTATTTCCAAAAGTAGACACTCCTGTCTATGTGTGTATTGGGTATATTGTTCTTCCTCGCTTTGTACCTGTAACATATAAATGACTGTGTGTACAAATGTATTTTTCTGGAAATATTTATTGTAGTCTAGCTGGCTTTGACAGCTTCTGCACTTTTATTTAGAAGCCTGAAGGTACTTGAGGATAGAAAAAGCCTTTGCACATGGAAATTCACATGCTGCTATACGTTTAAGGTAAAACTTCTTTTCTTCTGGTTTTGTGGGTAAAATAAAATGTGGGAATAGTGAGGTAAGAATGGAAGGAAAACAAGGTAATAAAAACACGTCCAGGCTGCTTATAGATTGAAGGTGATATATTTGAACATCAGCTGTGCAGTTCTAGTAGAGAAAAATGTCCAGGAGCTGGTTATCCTACCGGAAGAGGAGCAGCTAGGAGAGGGTTTTCATCAACCATCAGTCCTCTCTAACTTGTCTTCCAAGTATTTTTCTGCTCTCATATATCTCCAGTATAATGTTGGTCAACACCCAAATTTTCATCCTTCTCTGACCATTAAATTATTTCCCTGCTGTTATAATTACAGTCCAAAATCAACTTTATTCATAAAATTCATCAGTATTAATCTGCTAGTGCTAGGAAAATGCTCTGGATTTTTAAAACCAACACTACTAAAAAAACAGTCTTTAGCTTTTTGCCTCTGCTGAGATTTAAATTAGTGGGTTCTCCTAGAACAGTTTTTCTACTTAGGAAACAAACACATTTAAGCTGTCCTTATTATCTTCCTCCCCCACACAGAGCTGTTATTTATTTGAGGCAGTCTCAGAGGAATATTTGATGGGAAAATTTATGTCCAGACATAGACATCCACTCCAGTACTTTCTGAAGGGCATGAAGGTTCATATTTAATTATCTGGCTTTATGCAACTACTATTGTTGTAGGTAATAGTCATCAATACAGCATGTAGTACCTATGTTGCTATGAATAAATATATAACATCATATTGTCCTTCTTTCCCTGCTTAATTAATTAGCATTTGGAATGTGCACATCTCATTTCTAGTGCATTGTTCTGATTCTCATTGACTGAGAGACCAGGGCTAAGCCCTGGGCTTCATCAGTTTAATCACCTACTACACTTTTCTCATGTAGCTTCTGCTTTTCTTTCTGAGATGTTAAAAGATCCTCTTTGGCTTTCAAGGTCGTTCAAAGATGATTTTTAAAAGTTGACTTTGATTTTAACCAAAAGCCAGAGTTCTGAGCAGAAAAGACTGGAGATCAGTCTGCCCTCCAGGCTCAACTGCATGTAAAACATGAAAAAGTAGTAAAATACATTTACAGGACTTCAGCACCCTCAAGAGCAGTGAAGTGGTTCACCTCAAATATACAAAGACACTGGGAGAGCTTTTATGCCAGAAAGAAATGAGGAGACAGACAAGTAAAGAAATGCTTATATTAAATAGTCATTAAAAATGTATCAAATGTGGAATACTGTGCTCAAGCTTTTGACTTCTTGCTGTATTAGGAAAGCAAGTATCAGCAAATGCTCTCTGGTAGCATTTCCATGCCCTCACAAGGGCATTAGAACCCTGATATTGAATAACCAAGGTTCAGAACTGAAGAAAATAATGTCTGCCACAGCTATACTTCTCCTGAAATTGTCTCTCTACAGCTGATGGAGGGAAGGGCTGGTGTCCTGCTCCCTGTGTCTGTGTGTGGTTTAGTTTTATGGCTCCATCCTTCTCTCCACAGAGCCAAAACCAGAAGAGATGGGAAGTGAAAACAGCCATCTACAGAAACTGCACTAATAAATATCTATGAAAATAAGAGCATTTTCCCAAGAACAAAAGAGCAATTGAGACATTTAACATAAACATCCATAATAAATTAATCAGAGCTGATTTATGGCGATGGATGTTTTATGCTGCAAAGACACGGAGGAAGTGAAGTAATTTCTGCCCAGAACTTGGCCCTGTCTCATTCCCTCTCTTGCATGCCTTGGGAAGATGTGACAAACCTCCTCATGACAAATCCCAGGAATGTTGTGTCTTCCCCTTTGACTTCAGCCAGGCTGAGCAGCCAAACTGGATGATGATTTATTGCAACTGCTCAATAATAATCTTCTCTAAGCCCAAAATAAGCTGTTGTTTTGCAATCTTTTTGTTTTGTTTTTCTTTTTAATCTTGATTTTGCTTTCAGTTTTGTAAGGAGAAACAAGCAATTTTCTCCAAGTGGACCTGCTGGGAGGACCTTCCCTGTTGCTGTCACCTTTTTCAATGGCAGGCTCAGCTGCCTTCAGGTCAGGTTTTTGCATCTTCCAGCAGGTGTATTTGCTTAATTAAGCATAACCAGAGGTGTGTATGGGCATATGTTCCTCCTGAAGAGCAGGAAAACCTGCGCCTTTCACCATGAAACTGGCAGTCTTGCTTAAGATTTCTGCAGGAAGAACATCTCTGAAGTTAAACTCCCCAAATTGGGCAGCCCAGACAAGAGTTTGATGCATGAAAACCACTGGCACTTCATAAGACAATGAGATGTGGGAGGGTGAGCCTGTTTGGTTTCATCACTCCAGTTCAATTACACTCCAGAAATTAAACTTAACCAGCACAAGAAGATACACAAGCCAAAAAAAAAAAAAAAAAAAGATAATGCAGTGTTTGATTTCACAAAAAAATAGACATAGGTTTCTCAATAGCTTCTTCATATCCTGTCCCTCCTCCTCAGCACATAACTGATTTAAAGGAAATTTTAAAAATCAGTTTGAAGGCAGGCACATTCTGGGCAGTTTTTACTACCTCATAGTAATTTCTGTTTCGCAGCTTGGGGGAAAATGTTCAAATTGATGTTCACATCTTGGCAGGGCTGGCCTGAGCCCCTTTGTTCCCTTATGGCTTGTGATTGTATCACACTTGCCCTCCCTCTCACCGGGGCTGAGTTGCCAAATAAGAAGTTACTCCACACCAAGCCCTGTGATTACAATTTCAATAGAAAACTGTCTCAAAATAAAATCCCTTTGAGGGCCTCAAAAATGTCTCAATAAATTCTACTGACAGTGGTGTGTTGCTTTATTTGCCTGGCTAGATTTTTGCTTTAGCTCCTTTTGTAATGAATTGCTTTCCATTGTGGCACAAAATTACTTGACAAGAGTTTTGCTGGGGTTGTGTGAGTCAAGCCCTCACCTCACTGTAGTCAACCCCAAACCTTGTGCAGACTTCAGGGGAGCATGACTTATGTGCTTTCCAAAGAAAAATAGTACTTTTTAAGTACATAAAAATGGTAAAGGTGGAAGACTAGGAGCAAAACAGAGGCCCTTCAGGGACAGGAGGGCTATGATGTTTAGGGTGATGTATGAAAAGGGATGTCCCTTGGCTGTGCTTTGGAGGAATGGGGTAATCTTTGAAAAACAGGGGGGTGATATATTAATTTATAGGAGAGAAGAGTCCAGGCTGGAGCCTGTGGTACCACCAGTGGTCCTTGAGGGTGCAGTTCAAGGGATCCTTCCTCTCTCCTTTCCTGCTGTCACTGCTAAGTGATGCTCTACATTATCCAGGTGTGCCAAAAACAGGACTTGGGAGCTTTGGATAACTTCTGAATTAAAACTCACCTGTGAATTTAATTGAGCTCAATATAGGTTTGGGTGAAGACTTGCATGCTGCTCCACCTAAAACTACGTCTGCTGTAAGATCTTTGGTGGATCATTTTGTGGTTTTTCAAAATCACAGAGCAGCTCTGAGTGTGATCATTGTCCTTCCATCCAAGGTCAGAGCTGAATTTGGCCCTGCTCTTCAGCCTCCAGAGGTTAAAGCAATGCTACGACCTGGTGTTTAACACAGCAAAGTGAGTTTTGTTTCAGCCAATGTCAGAAAATTCCAGAGATTTAAATGTGACACTCTCAGGTAACCACACAATTCCTTTATAAATAACATGTATGTTTGCAGCCACAGAAAAGCCTCCACTGTGCAGGTCCACACCTGGCCAGCTGTTGCATGGACAGTTATCAGCCCATACAGGGTGATGTTGGGCACACGTGCAGGTGCAAGCACCCTCAGCTGCTTATTGTTGTCAGCAGAAGGAAAATGTGGGTTTTGTTTCAAGAGCAGGATCTGTATAACCTCACAGCTGGACAAGGTCTAACTCGAATTACTGCCTCACCTGTGCATCTCCTTTAAAAACATCCACTTACCTTTCTACACATTTGGGTCATGTTGCCCTGTGCAAAAAACATTTCCTGTGTTTCAGGCTGAGAGACACATTTCACTTGCTGATTGTAGTATTTGGTTTCTGTGGCCAAGTGTTTTTAGATTGAAATGCAGTGCTCTTGAGACATTGTTATTATGGCTGTTTGATTTGACCACAGATGGATAACAACAAGCCTGGTTCCAGGGAATTAGCCCCAGTGGCTGCTGCGTCCTCTCAGAATCACAGGATCACTGGGGTTGGAAAAGCCCTCCCAGCCCACTGAGTCCAACCTGTGCCCGATCCCCACCTTTTCACCCAGCCCAGAGCACTGAATGCCATGTTGCTTGGACACCTCCAGGGATCAAGACTCCACACATCCCTGGGCAGCCCCTTCCAATGCCTGACCACCCTTTCCAGCAAGAAATTCCTCCTGACGTCCAACCTGACCCTGCCCTGGCATGCCTTGTGGCCGTTTCCCTTCGTCCTGCCCTTTGTTGCCTGGAAGCAGAGCCCGACCCCACTCTGGCTCCCCTCTCCTGTCAGGGAGTTGTAGAGAGTGAGAAGGTCCCCCAGGAGCCTCCTTTTCTCCAGGCTGAGCCCCCCCCCAGCTCCCTCAGGCGCTCCTGGTGCTCCACACCTTTTCCCAGATCCATTCCTTTCCTGGTCATGCTCCAGCCCCTCAATGCCTCTCTTGCCTGAGGGGCCCAGACCTGGACACAGCACTGGATCTGCCTCAGCAGTGCCCAGCACAGGAGACAATCCCTGCCCTGGCCCTGCTGGACTCACTGTTCCTGACACTGCCCTGCTCCCTGTGCCAACCCATTGCTGAATCTGTGGGGAAGGTGGTTGCTGTGCAGTTGCTTCGTTTGCGGTCTCCATCGACACACCAGACCCCCACAGCTGAGGGAGGAGAATTGGTCATGGTGCCTTGTTTTCCTGTTCATATCTCACATGAGTTCATTAGAATTATGAACATGTTGTGAAATGAAAATAAATATAATTTGTGCTTATCCAGCTTAGTCATGCCGAGATAGGGGCTGTCTGCATCTGTTAATTACACTCTGAAAGGCCTCAGCTTGAGACTTAGGAGACATCATGAGGTTTTCTGAGATCTCTTTATATAAACTTTTTTCCCGAAAGTACAGGAACAAGAGCCAGAAGAACTTTTGGGTTTTTTTTTTTTGTTCTTAAAGACATCACTGTGTTGGGTCCATCAGTCAAGGGGTGAGTTACACCTAAAGAGGGCACTGGTTTCTTTGTCAGACAAGTCACTGAACCTCACACAATCCAAAATGCTCACCCAGAGAGGAATTTTCATTGCAGAGACTCTGGAAAATAACACTATCATTTACTGCTTAAGCATCTCCTTTTCTGATTTGAATTTAAAAATGCTGTAGGGAGTCCAACAAGTAAGTGTTAAACCTTCTGTAAGAGACACATATGGGAGAGGAGTTGCTAAGCGCAAGCCAAATGCTGGATACCTAAAGCCCAGAGAGAGAACAGATGTTTTACCACCTGCACACTCTTTTCTACCAGAAAATAATTCAGATTTGGATGCTGCTTATTGGATGAGTTTGGTTTTTTTTTTTTCTTTTTTTCAAAGCTGACTTACCATCTCCTTATGCTTAAAGCATAAGCAGAGAGGGGAGGGGGAAAAGATATTAGTATTATAACACAGTGCTTACAGGAAAATGTTAAAATGAAGTTTCTGTCTCTGGGGGTTAATAATGTATGGTTAGTGTAGGGTTGTTATGAAAAGAACATAGTTACAGTAAGAGCATATGGCCAAACAAAAGAAGAAATCCAGCCCTTTGGAGATGGTCTT